CGAACGCGGGGGGAAACCCCCCCCCCCGCGCCCCCCCCTGCCGATGGCCGCACCCCTGTCGCGCACCTGACGTCCCGCAGGAGGAGAAGCTTCTCAGGCCGGTCCAGGATGGCCAGAAGTGGCCGCACCAGGTCCTCCACGCAGCCCTCGTGGACGTACTGTGGGAGGAGGGGGGGCAGGTCACATCAGACCCTGGGCTGCAGCCACCTCTGGGGTGGGGGGTAGGGCTGGTGTCGCAGCACCCGGCGAGAGGAGGTGGCTTTGTAGAGGCAAGAGACCCCCGCCCCACGATGCATGACTGGGGGCCCAGGGCAGTGGGACCCAGTGGTTAGAGCAGGCACGACTGTGGGCTCTGGGTGTGCCTGGCCCAGCCGGCCCCTCTCACCCTCAGTCTGGAGCAGGTCCTGGGGCTGTGGGCAGCGGGGCTGGGAACGGGGCAGGTCTGTGCACTCAGAAGGGCCCTGGGGAGGGGCAATCTGGGTCGTGTTAAAGCCCCCCCATCCCCTCAGATGCTCATTACTGGGGTGCAGAGTGCACGAGAGCACGCACATGTGTAGCTTGAACACGCCTAGGTGCTTGTGATGTGGGTGCTATGCATGCGTGCACACATAGGCTTGCACTCACCCGAGTGCTATGTGTACATGTGCCTGCGCTCCCATCTGGGGCCCATAGGCAGGTGTGCGCCCATGGCTCTCCCCCAAGGCACTGTGTGCACGCGCGCGCGCGTGCGCATGCTCTCACCCGGGTGCTGCGTGCATAAAGTGTGCAGACGTGTGCCGTGCTCTCCCTCAGGCACCGCGGGCACGTTCAAGCACGTGCCCACACACTCACCTGGGTGCAGTGGCGCAGCACAGCGGCCACCTCGTCTTCGCCGAGCAGCTTGGTGGCCATGTCGCGGATGAGGAGCAGGCGGCTCTCGGCCTCAGGGCCTGCGCTCTGTGGGCTGGGGGCACCCAGGACGCTGGCGCGGGGGCCTCTGCCTGCAAGCAGCCACGCGGTCAGGGCCCCACGTGCGCGGGGCTCAGGGCTGCAGCCCCTGGAACTGCAAGCACGCACCCACATGCATGCACCCGTGCCCATGCACATGCATGCAGACCCATGCCCACGATCACACATGCATGCACACACGTCCCTGCACGGATCCCTGTGTGCGCACACAAGCGCCCCCTCCCCGTCTTACCCCGTTTCAGGCTTCGGCTCACGAATTTCTGCACGGGGCTGGCTGCAAGCAGAGGGGCCACGTCAGTGCAGGCTGCGGACTCCCTCTGCCTGGGGGTCCCAGGGTCGATGGCCCCGGGGGGCTGCCCCAGAGGGAGGCAGTGGTGACCCCACCTCATCTCCCTGCCTCGGTTTCCCCATGTGGGCTGGACACAGCCCAGGGCAGAGCCCACGCATCTGCCCTCCGCGGGGGGACTCTCACCCCCTGAGCTCCCCGTACCTCTGTCGGGCTCGCGCCCCGGGGACCGGTCCCCCGGCCCCGCCGGCTTCTCCTTCTTCCTCTTCTCCTCTGCGGGGGCAGCGACCTGGGCTGGGCTGGGCTCCCACCATGGCCACGCGCACCCCGCCCGCCCGCCGGCTTGGTTACCCCCACCTGGGCCGCACACCCCTCAGGCAGCCATCTTGCTTACCCCCCCGCCGCCATCTTGGCCACCCTCCCTTGAGCAGCCATCTTGGTTACCCTTGAATTGCCACCTTGGCCATCCTCCTGTGGGCAGCCATTTGGGCCACTCACCCCTCAGGCGGCCATCTTGGCTACTCTGCCATGGGCAGCCAACTTGGCTATCCCCTTCCTGTGGGCAGCCATCTTGGTTACCTCCCTGTCGCCATCTTGGCCACCCTTCCATGGGCAGTCATCTTGGCCACATACCCCTTGGGCAGCCATCTCAGCTACTCTACCATGGGCAGCCATCTTGGCCACCCTCCCGTGGACGGCCACCTGGGCTACGCACCCCTCAGGTGGCCATCTTGGCTATCCCCTTCCCATGGGCAGCCATCTTGGCCACATACCTCTCAGGCAGCCATCTTGGCTACTCTGCCATGAGCAGCCATCTTGGCTACCTCTTCCCGTGAGCAGCCATCTTGGCCATCCCCCAACCGCCGTCTTGGCCACACCTCTTGTTAGACAGCCACCTTGGCCACCCCACCCCCTCATAGGCAGCCATCTTGGACATTCCCCAGCCCCGTCCCAGCCCTCTCTCCTGAGGCGGCCATGTTGGACAGCCCTCTCCCTCCTTCCCAGCGGGGCCAGGGCAGGGCGCAGGGGCCGGCGGGCACGTACCGCAGACGGTGAGGTAACTCTGGGAGCGCTTGATGGGCTGGCGGGGCTGGCCGAGCGCCAGCAGCAGGGCCGTCTTGGGCGAGTCCACCGGGCCGTGGCCGGGCCGGCGCCTCCGGGCCAGGAAGGGCTCGCGGGCGGCCTCGGCCCGGATGGCCGTGTCCCGCAGCAGCTCCGGGGGCCGCACCGTGCGCCACGTCTCGGCGCCCGGCGGGTCCGTCTGGATGGCCGTCTCGGCCCACTCCCGCTCGCGCCGGCGGCTCCGCTGCGGCCCATCGTCCGTGGAGATGCCCACGTCCACGTGGCCGGGCACCGCCAGCCCGTTGAGGGCGCCGAAGGCCGTGCCCGAGGAGTAGGACGAGACGGAGGAGCTGGTCTCCGAGGCCTGGGACAGCTGCTGCAGCTGCCCGTTGGCCACTGGTGGGGGAAAGCACGGAGCCGTGGGGCGATGCCGGCTCCGACCACGGAGCAAAACCAGTCGCCCCGTCCCCCTCCCCAGTGCAAACCAGTCTGAGCAGGGGGGAAATCCCTTCCTCCCCACTGGGAGCGCGGGGGCGAGACCCTCCCGCCAGGACCCCACAGGGTCATGGGCCCTGCAGTGCCAGCCTCTCAGGGTCCTGGCTCCCCGCCCCACGGGCCACGGGGCGCTTACATCTGTTGAGCCAGCAGTACTCGGCCACCATCTCCTTGTAGGCGGGGAAGCGCCCGGTCTCCTGCGGCGGTCGGAGAGAGAGGCGGTGAAGGCCCCAGATGGCACCTTTGAGGCGAACCCGATCCCAGCCCCGCGTGGCCGTGAATAATGCATG